GGTTTTACTATGTTGCCCAGGCTTAAAATTTTTTGTAAAATACATTTTTCAAAGCATCATCACCTGACCTGGAGTGAAAATCACCTGGAGTGAATGTTAAAAAAGTGCATATTCCTACACTTCAAACTAGATCTACTGAATCACAATCTCTGATGATAGGACCCAAGAGTCTGCATAACAATCATCCCATATGACTCTTATGCCCAATAAAGATTGAGAATTATTGGATTAATATGATACTTAACAGTGGCCACTTCCAGAAAATGGGACTTGGAGGGCAACGAGGGCTTTCCCTTTCATTTTACTTTATACTGTTTTTGTTTTAAAACTTTTTTATTTTTTATTTTTTGAGACAGGGTTTCACTCTGTCACCCAGGCTGTGTGTAATGGTAGGATCACAGCTCACTGTAGCCTCAAACTCCTGGGTTCAAAAAACTCTCCCGCCTCAGCCTCCAAAGCACTAGGATTACAGGCACAAGCCACTGCGCCAGCCTAAACTTTTTATAAACATTTATTACATATACACTAATCTACATCTGCTAGAGATTTTTGAGGTTTAGAAGACTGAAACATTAAATATTGATTGTCTGGGTCATATAAATGAGAAAATTTATTACCAATTGAGCTTATTCAGAAAGAGAAAAGATGGGCCAGGTGCAGTGGCTCATGCCTCTAATCTCAGCACTTTGGGAGGCTGAGGTGAGTGGATCACTTGAGGTCAAGAGTTCAAGACCAGCTTAGCCAAATTGGTAAAACCCTGTCCTCTACAAAAAATATAAAACTTAGCCTGGTGTGGTGGCACATGCCTGTAATCCCAGGTACTCGTGTGGCTAAGGCGTGAGAATCTCTTGATTCTAGTGAATCGCTTAGACCCAGAAGGCAGAGGTTGCAGTGAGTTGAGATCATGCTACCGCACTCCAGCCTGGGTGACAGTGAGGCTCCATCTCAAAAAAAAAAAAAAAAGGTAAAAGACTATCTAAGACTATAAATTTGGCAACATGTAACAAATTATCAAACTTTTCCTTATCAAACTTTTCCTTCATTCATTCAACGAGTATTTGCTGAGCAGCTGTGTTCCAGGTACCCTTCTATGTGCCAAAGATAGAGTGAAGAATTTTAGGCAAGATTTCTACCCTTGAGGATGTTACTTTAGTGTTGAGGAGGAGAGACAGATTGAGAAAAGTGGGGGTAAGGTGAGGGACAAGGAAAGGCTTTTTCCAGGAGTGATTTTTGACCGAGATCTGGAAGATGAAATCAGTCACATGAAAAGTTGAGCAAGAGCAGCCATCCTGATCAGAGATCTTGACTGATTTAGGGGACAGAAAGCACTTCTGCGAAAATGGAGCAGAGTGAGAGGAGAGCAGTGCCAGATGAGGCTGCTGAGGAAGCCAGAGCTAGATCGCGTAGACTTTTGTAAATAATTTAGATTTTATTCTGGGAAGCCAGCTATAGGTTTTAAGAAAAAAATGATATTATCTCTTTTGCATTATCTAAGTGATCACTTCAATAGCCTTTCACCTGGTATTTTCACTGAGCAGAATGTGACTACAAGTGTCTGGTCTGAAACTCCTGAGCTCAAGGGATCTTCCTGTCTAGGCCTCCCAAGGTGCTGGGATTACAGGTATGAGCCACAGCACGCGGCCTGGGTTATATTTTATAGGATGGTTTACTTTTATGAAACAAATTATAGGCCAGGCGCGGTCGCTCACACCTGTAATCCCGGCGCTCTGGGGGGCTGAGGCGGGCAGAACATCCGGGGTCGGGAGTTTGAGACCAGCCTACCCAACATGGTGAAACCCCATCTCCACTAAAAATACAGAAATTAGCCGGACGTAGTGGCGGGCGCCTGTAATCCCAGCTACTCAGGAGGCTGAGGCAGGAGAATTGCTTGAACCCGGGAGGCAGAGGTTGCAGTGAGCTGAGATCACGCCATTGCACTCCAGTCTGCGTGATAGAGTGAGATTCCATCTCAAAAAAAAAAAAAAAAAACAAAACCTATAAATATCAAGGCACTATCACATTTTATTTGTCATCACAAAAAATTTCTGTGATTGAGAGAATGTAAGTTATTATTCCAGGTTGATCAAAGAAGTAACTGAGATACTGAGCAGTTTAAGAAGTTAACTCATTGAACAAATGTCTGAGTGCAGACTATATAATCCTAATAAAAACAGTAGTTCTTAGTAGGGTATATATATCTTAGTGATTAATTAGTAGTTACCACTTCAGGATCTTATTAGTAGTAGCTCTAGTTAGGATTATACATCTTGTTAATGTCTGAGTCACAGTTAGAATCTTTGATCCAGGATGTTGAAGGAAACATAGCCACATTGTATGTATTTATGGCTACTCTTCAGGAAGCCACTAGCATACAAAGCCCATAATGAAAGTCTTGGTAAATACATACGCTGATGTGTACCAAAAAAACGTAAGCCTTTTGGGTATGTCTTTTTTTTGAGACGGAGTCTCGCTCTGTCGCCTTTCACGCCATTCTCCTGCCTCAGCCTCCTGAGTAGCTGGGACTATAGGTGCCTGCCACCTCGCCCGGCTAGTTTTTTGTATTTCTTAGTAGAGACGGGGTTTCACCGTGTTAGTCAGGATGGTCTCGATCTCCTGACCTCGTGATCCACCCGTCTCGGCCTCCCAAAGTGCTGGGATTACAGGCTTGAGCCACCACGCCCGGCCCCGGGTATGTCTTATAAAGGAAAAGTTTTGTGTTTGTTAAGTGTTATGTCATACATTTTTATGGAGCAAAACAATGTATGTATTTTAAAAATACCTTTTATATGGATTAAAGGTTAAGACTAACCATATAAACTACAGAGTGTAAGGTATGTGTCAGCAACCATGATACAAAAAATATTTTACGGGCTGGGTGTGGTGGCTCACGTAATCCCAGCGCTTTGGGAGGCCGAGGCGGGTGGATCATGAGGTCAGGAGATCGAGACCATCCTGGCTAACACGGTGAAACCCGTCTCTATTTTAAAAATACAAAAAATTAGCTGGGCGTAGTGGCACACGCCTGTAGTCCCAACTACTTGGGAGGCTGAGGCAGGAGAATAACTTGAACCCACGAGGTGGAGGTGGCAGTGAGCCGAGATCATGCTACTGCACTTCAGCCTGGGGACGACAGACCGAGACTTTGTCTCAAATAATAATAATAATAATATTTCATGAAGCAATGTTAACTTTGAGCTGTATAGCTTGATTTCTTTGCATTCTTTATAAAGTATAAATAAAATATAAATAGATGTTTTATACCTCAGTTGCAGAGACATCAGAAAATGAATTCTAGACAGGAGCTCAAAGAGTTCAGATAAAACTCCCAAAATTATAGAAAAAATAAAAGCTAAACCCTGATTTGGTCAAATTTCACTTGAAACAGGGGTTCTCAAGAGTGATGTCATTTCTGGAATGTAAAAGAAGTTATTTTCCACATTGTCTATCCTGTGTGTGTGTGTGTGTGTGTGTGTGTGTGTGTGTGTGTTTTAATAGAAATTATACACACTTTAGAATGGATTCAATAGGATTGTTCTTTTGACAAGGATACCTTCAATATGTTCAAGCTACAGATGAAGCCAGTCTTTTAACAGTTTTTAAAGGACCTACTTGATGACTTAGATTGAAAACTCTAGGAGGACACATATATCCAGATAAGCACTGATGTATATATCCAGTTTCCAATTTTTAAATTGTAAATTGTATATTTGTAGTTATTGTTACAGGGAGATTAACAATGACTAGGGAAGGCCGGGCGCGGTGGCTCATGCCTGTAATCCCAGCACTCTGGGAGGCGGAGGCGGGTGGATCACCTGAGGTCAGGAGTTTGAGACTAGCCTGGCCAATATGATGAAACCCCATCTTCTACTAAAAATACAAAAATTAGCCGGGCCTGGTGGCGCGGGCCTGTAATCCCAGCTACTCAGAAGGCTGAGGCATGAGAATCACTTGAACCCAGGAGGCGGAGATTACAGTGAAAGGCGATCGCGCCACTGCACTCCAGCCTGAGCCACAGAGCAAGACTCCCTCTCAAAAACGAAACAAAACAACAACAAAAAACAATGACTGGGAAAAGTAGGCCATGAAAAGTGTCGTTTCCTACATATCAATTGCCAGTACTACAAGCAGGAGTTAGACGTTTGGAGGTTTTTACACGGTGCTATAAATACAGTTTCCCGGGCCCCGGTCCACGTGGCCTTCCTGCTCTGCCAGGATGGAGAGTCTTGCTTTCCACATTGCCGATGTGGTCAGACTAATTAAATGACTGCAGAAAGACACATTCCCTAGTCAACCTTATGTGTCTGCCTTATTCCATTGAGTCACAGTTGTTGGCTTTACAGGGCAAAGCAAGTAAGTCTTGAATCCTCAGCAGAAACAGGACACCAGCATCTGATGCCTCATAACCTGAACAGTTAAGGACGTCCCACCACTGAGCTTCCTTTTGAGCGTGATGAACTACAAGGCAAGACTACAAAGGGGTGGATCTTCATTTCGATTTAGGGTAGGTGACACCTCAAAGGTGTTTCTTCCCTTCCAGCGTAACTGAATGGGAAACCTGAACCAAGTGTGCTTGGGAGGACTGCTTGAGTCAGCCACCTGTAAGCGGAAATAGGGGGTGCCACCTTCCTATGAAAACACCCAGCCCATACTGTCAACGGAGGGCCCTTGAATTCACATCCCTCAGCCCGCTGGAAAGCCCTGAAACCACGTGGCCTTTAACCCATTCCGGCAACAGCGCCAATTCACAGAAGCGAGAGGGCAAGAAAGCTCAGCGCGACGCTTCCCGCGTCTTCTAGGCCGCGCGCTTAAATCAAACACGACGCCGGCTAGCTGGGGGCCGGGCCGAGAGCGCACCGCTACAGCGGCCGGGTAAGCCGCGGCCGCCGCCCGCCCCGCTGCAGAGCTGGGCGGGGCCACCTGGAGGCAGCCGGGAGAGGCAAGCCGAAGAGGAAGAAGAAACGCCGAGGCGCGCTCTGCGCAGGCGCGCGGCGCCCCGCCTCCCCAGCGTCGGCTCCCGGGCAGGCGGCGCGGGCCCTCCCACTCTACCCCGCGCCGCCTCACGGCCCCGGCCCTAGCTTCACCCCGACTCCCCGGCGTGCGCGTCCTCCTGCCGGCCTGCAGGCCCGGGGCCTCCGCCTGCTTCCCCACAACTGCTCCTCGCGGCCCCGCTCGCGTTCACGCTGTCGCCCGGGCCGGCGCGGCCGCGGGCAGCCGCTCCCCCTCCCACACCTACCCCGCCCCCTCCCCGCCTTTTCCGTTCTCCGGTCCCCCTCCCTCGGCCCGCTGCCGCTGCTCCAGATGAGGTGATGGCAACGGCCAACTTCGGCAAGATCCAGATCGGGATTTACGTGGAGATCAAGCGCAGCGATGGTGAGCCGCGCTGCTAGCCCCGCTGGACCGCTCGGCCCCGCGTTCGGGTGTGCACTGAGGGGACGCGGGCGCCGGCCGCCTCATTGATTGCTTCGCCGGGCTGTGGGGGCGGGAAGGCGGCGGCCGCGGCGCTTTTGTGTGTGGTGTGTGTGCCAGTGAGGCCGGCGTGGGGTCCGCCCGGGCGCCGCTGCAGTTCTCCGGGCCGGGCCGCGGGGGAGGGAAGCCGGGTGGGGAAAGGGCCTGGGTGTCGAGGGTCTCTGGGCGGGGGCCGCTCGCTCCTCCCCCCGCAATCTCCAGCCCCCCCCGCCGGGGACACCAGCCCGGGAGGGAGCGGGCTTCGTTAGGGATGACCCTGCCTTGCGCTTCCCCGCGGTCTTCGCATTTTACCGGCCTGGCCTCTGACGGGGATGGGGGTGGGGGAGCGAGAAGACCAGCGATTTCACGTTTAGAGAACCGACTGCTGGTCGGAGGCCGAGATGGGGGAAAAGAGCCAATCCCGTCGCCTTAAACTGCCGTCTGGTTGTCAGACCTCCCCGGCTTTCGTCCTCGACCATGCTGCTTTCTTTTTTGCCACTTCCTTGGGAGAAAGATGTGGAGAATATCGCGCTGAGCCATGAATAAGGGTGGGGGAGCAATGCGAAGAAATATTCGATGGGCTTCTCCAAGGTGATGAGAATGTAAAGGGAAGGATAGGGGATGGGCAGAGTCAATGCGAGGCACTGCTGAGAGGGTGTGGGGGTGGGCGACCGGATGTTGATATTTTCACACCCTCGGGAGAGGTAACTGAGAAAAGTGTAAGGCGAGGTGAAGACACATGCCTCATTTTTTTTTTTTTTTTTAAGAGCCTTAGGCTTATGTATCTTTCTGTAGGTTTCTCTTGGGGAAAATGTTTTATGTCACTAGCTTGGGGTGTGGAGTCAGATATGCCAGCCAGATTGTAAATAATTCATATTGTAAAGGAATAAATGCACGGAGGGAGATAAGTGAAATTATTTTCTTTAGGTACCAATATTGAAAGAACGAGAGCTGTGTGATAATCTCGAGTTGAGCAGTGTTCCTGACTTCATCTCATACCGACTCCTTTTTTTTCTTTTTTCTTTTTTTTGAGACGGAGTTTCACCCAGGCTGGAGTGCAGTGGTGCGATCTCGGCCCACTGCAACCTCCACCTCCCGTGTTTAAGCTATTCTTCTGCCTCAGCCTCCCGAGTAGCTGGGATTACAGGCGCCCGTCACCACGCCCAGCTAATTTTTTGTATTTTTAGTAGAGACGGGGTTTCACCATGTTGACCAGGCTGGTCTCGAACTCCTGACCTCAGGTGATCCACCCGCCTCGGCCTTCCAACGTGTTGGAATTACAGGCGTGAGCCCCCGCGCCTGCCCTCGATTCCTTTTATTTGTGGCTTATGTATTGGCCTTTAGCCTAGCCTAGTCAGTAGTAACTTGGCTCTCGCGTCCCCGCCCCCCTTGGATTCTGCCAGGTTTGACCAAGTTATGTGAAGCTAGGTTGATTTTCATGTTGTGTGTATGATATATTGGAAGACCCTATATAGCTAATGATTTTTTTCCTCCATTATATTTGAGGTAATTTGTGGTAACAACTGAAACCATCATTATCCTGTATATGAAAAGATAAATTATACCGCTTAGGGCTTTAGAAGTTACCAGTAACACTGATGGGAAAGAGATACCTTCTTTACTTCGGTTGAGGTTTCTTTTGTATTTTCTCTTCAAATTACTTTCTTGAAAGAGTGCTGTTAATGTCATTTTTTTTAGGTAAATACGAGTTCACAGTATACCAGCAAAAGTAGGATTTACATATTGTTTTGAAGATTCTGGGTGCACAGCAACCCCTGTCCTGGGTATACCCCCAAGGGAGAGGAAATCACCACTTTGTGAAGATATCTGCAGTCTCGTGTTCATTGCAGCATTATTCACAGTAGCCAAGATAGGGAAACAACCTAAATGTCCATCGATGGGTGACGAATGGCTAAAGAAATTGTTCTGTATGTGTGTATATGTTTATGTGTGTGTATAGACAACGCACAATGGAACATTATTCAGCCTTAAAAAAGGAGATCCTACTATTTACCACAACGTAGATGGACTTGGAAGGACATTAAGTTAAATGAAATAAGCCAGACACTAAGGAAAATATTGCATAATCTCACTCATGTAGAATATTTTTTTAAGGAGCTAAAATACACAGAATGAAACAGTGGTTACTACTGCTGGTGGGGGAAAGGAGAGGAAATGGGGAGATGTAGGTCAAGGATACAAAATAGCAGATATGTAGGATGAACAAGTTTAGAGATACAGGGGTACCAATGTTAGTAAAATTGTATTCGAGATTTTTGTTAAATAAGTAGATTTTAGCAGCTGTTGTTAAAGAAGTAATTATGTGAAATGATAGCTATGTTAATCTGCTTCACCATTTTGCTATCTATATTCCATAGCATCATGTTGTAAACCTCAGATACGCACAATGAAATTTATTTTTTTAAAAATTAGGGTGCAATAAAATGTGTAAATTCTTTACACTCTTAAGTCTTTATTAGTATAGATGTTAACTTTGAAATCTTATCAGAAAAAAGCATATGATATTTGATGTATACATTTTAACTTTTATGGAGCATATTTTATTTAAATTTATTGAACTTGAAGTGGTTTTGGTTTTTTTTCAGCCTTCACCTTCAGCCTATACCAGAAGTTCCCAGACATACAAGACCTTTGTGTTCTTACATAAGTGCTACTAACCTAAAACCACGTTTCAGAAGCGGCTTGCCTATAAGAAATTATGGAAGTCATTATCGTGTGTTATTATCCTAACCTATGGTCATGTATCTTTTTATGTGCCTCAGATGCATGATGGAGTTGGTGGAAGGCAGAAGATTAGTAGAGAACTTGGAAAGAAGGGAAGGATCATTTGCATTGGACAGTAGTGTTTCACAGTAGAAATCATGTCTGGTAGAATGCCCCTCAAGCTTTCCCTTTTTCATTTTAAAGAAGCTTGTTTGCTTCCTCTCACTTCCATAACAGATGTATATTGGATAAAACACTAGTGGTTACTATAACAAAAATACACTTTGCAGTTGGATAAACACTAATATCTGAGACAGTAGAAATGACATGAGTAAAGAAGGGCTGCTTCAGACCATTTTATTTAATACTTTAAGTTCTAGGGAACATGTGCACAACATGTTTTAAGTTCTACTTTAAGTTTTACTTTAAGTTCTAGGGAACATGTGCAAGTTTGTTACATATTTATACATGTGCCATGTTGGTGTGCTGCACCCATTAGCTGCTCATTTACATTAGGTGTATCTCCTAATGCTGCCCCTCTCCCCTCCCCCCACCCCATGACAGGCCGGGGTGTGTGATGTTTCCCTTCCTGTGTCCTAGTGTTCTCTTGTTCAGTTCCCACCTATGAATGAGAACATGCGATGTTTGTTTTTTTGTCCTTGTGATAGTTTGCTCAGAATAATGGTTTCCAGCTTCATCCATGTCCCGCTTCAGACCATTATTAACTGGTGACTTGATGTTTTTCTTTTTGCTTGCTGATGGTGATCCATGTCCCTATTTCAGACCATGCTTTTCCTATCAGTGATGCTCTTATACTAATAAACATATTCCAAGGGCAAACAGGTACACTAAAATGAGCTTATTCCTATTTTTCAAGACCGTGATGAAAACTATCCTAATGAGTCTTCACTGATTACTAAAACAAGATAAATTCAGTCAGCATCTGAATTCCTAGGTTATCCTGTGTTATTCATGAGATAGCGTATTTCCTTAAGTATTAATGTTTGGGTCTGTAACTTTTTTTTTTTCAACTCCTCTCAGCTCATACCTGTGGGTACATATTCTTAATATTATGTTTTTAAACTGCATGGGGTAATGGGACTTACTAATAACTAATACTTCTTTTTTTTTTTTTTTTTTGAGCGGAGTCTCGCTCTGTCAGTGGTGCGATCTCCACTCACTGTACCTCTGCCTGCCGGGTTCAAGCGATTCTCATACCTCAGCCTGCCAAGTAGCTGGGACTACAGGTGTGTGCCACCATGCCTGGCTAATGTTTGTATTTTTAGTAGTGACAGGTTTTTGCCACGTTGGCCAGGCTGGTCTCGAACTCCTGGCCTCAAGTGATCCACCCACCTCAGCCTCCCAAAGTACTGCTGGGATTACAGGTGTGAGCCACTGCACCCAGCCTCTAATGACTCTTAAATTCTCTGAATGCATCTGTGTGTCGTTACCCCCACTCCCACCCCCACCTCCACCCCTTGATGCCTAGCAAAATTCCTTGCACATCGTTTTTGAATAAATCATACATTATTGGATTTTTTGTTTTCAAACATTTTAATTAATCATTAGAATGACGTCTTAGCTGGAAGCAAAACCTTCCATCTATGCTTCTCTGTACTGCTACCTCCCTACTCTGGCCCTCTGCTTCCCACTGGCCTCTTAGTCAGGATCTACATCGTTAATTGAAATTGAGTGATCTGCTAAGGTTAATCTGACTTTTCTGGTATTCTAAGGTTATCAGTGACAGGGGTTAGGATTGGAGTCCTAAGATTATTCCCTGCCGCAGGAGATAACCTGGTATGAAATTGGACTGGTATATTTTCTTACATGTGTCTTCCTATTTTTCTGATTCAATTCCTTTCCCTTTTTAAAACCCACTGACTCTTAAAAAAACCTACGATCTTTCTGTCGCGTAGCTAGTTGTTTTTTGTTTTTTAAGCTGCACTGTTAACAGTTCTATAGTAGCTGTGACTACCCTTTGGGTACTGGGGGAGAAATGAGAAATGTTGAACATTTGGAAGCTGCAGCTAATATGGGATTGTTCTTTGGGGGGGGTCTCTTAGTCACAATACTGTGACTGTATTGATACATGTGATCTGAAAAGAATCTTAGAATATTTCCACCAGAAAGGTTTTTGGAGATAAACTAGTTTTCGTTTTTATAAATGTGGAACTTGAGTCCCAGATCACCATAAGTGACTT